TGCGGCTAAAGTAAACGGTCTCTCTGAGAGCAGCTTGGAAGAGAGGGGCGGGGACAGCAGAGCTCATTAACATTTAAAGAAAAATGCTACAAACGGCTTGATCTGAAAAGTATGGAAGCCCGTTTCCGCCACTAAATCCTGCAGTTTAGATTCAACCCTAATTAAACACACCTGGTCCAACTAATCTAGTCCTTCAAGCTATTTGAAAACTACATGGAATGTGTGTTGGAGCAGGGTTTGGAACAAAACTCTGCAGGGCTCCGGCACTCCAGGAATTGAGTTTGACACCCCTGCACTAATATAACCAAATGTGAAAGCACATACAGTGGCTCCTGCCATGTTTCATACCCTTCTGACATTTCAGAATGTATGCACAATACACGGACATACGTCATCGAATACTATGATAAGAGTCCCATCTACATCACCAAGGAAATACATGATGCAGATATTGTAAAGGCATATAAGTAAATTACACTTATATAACTGAGTGCCCATCTCTGGTTTATGCAACCAGCTAGAACATTTAAATTAGTTGTGAAGCAGCCAGTACCCTCTGCTTATCACCAATGTAAAATAATGAATAATTAATGTATGCATATAAAACAAATGACTGCCATTATAAAAAAAAAACATTTTTGGAGATAATTATTCATAACTACCATAAAAAGGGCAGTTATGAATAATTATCTACAAAAATGTTATTTTTTTTATAATGGCAGTCATTTGTTTTATATGCATACATTAATTATTCATTATTTTACATTGGTGATAAGCAGAGGGTACTGGCTGCTTAATAATAAATATTATGAATAAATATTAAACGTTTAGTGGGAAAAAATTGGTAATTCCCACTTTGTTTTTTAATCTATTTTCAATTCAAATACCTCACATCCGGTCTGGCGGTTGCATACAGTCTAGCCGTATGTTTTAAACACACCTAAAGCTCAAATCTGTCAAACCTGTCATTTGTCAAGAGATGAAATGGCGACCCAAGATGCAACAAAGAGCTCTGCAGCTGACAGGCATATCAATAACACCACCACACAAATTCAGGAATATTTTTTGTATTTGAGTAAAATCTACTTGAGTACACTTTGGAACAAGAGTACAACAAAATAGAATATACTTCAAATGTTGAATATACAAACTAGATTATTCTTAACACAAACATCTTGTTCTCCCTCTTTAAGGACTAATAAAAGCAAAAGCAAAAAAAATGCGCAAGAAATGTATTCGCAGTGAGGATGCGTGCTGCCAATTGACCTTTTTTTCCTCATTGTGTTGACAAACTGGCATCATTCCGGGATTTGGAAACACCTAAATGGTACAGCCATTTTTTTGTTTTTCTTGCGGGTGATTGAGACGACAATGCACAAAATGCTTTGCAGTTTGTTTGCCAATAATACTGTGCTTGGTACAACGTGTGAGGGAAAAAAAACAAAAAACCTTCAAAACAAGAGCTTAACACAAAAGCACAAAAAAACACAATAAGCTTGACTTAAAAGAAAAATGACAACAAATGAAAAATAAATTTTTTTCTAAGGCTGCATTGTTTATAAATTCAGTAAACTGTATAATTCATATATACAATGTCCATTTCTTCCCTTAGTAGAAGGGGGAGAATCAACACGTTCCTGTGAAACACGGGCAGAAGCGTGCACTCACAGTGATCATCAAAAGAATCTTGCTGGTTTTGCCTTGCAAATTTAATGTTAAAGAAAAAAAAACTTTATACAAGTTATAAAAAGTTGAATTTATCCTCCCTCAAAAGTTCACATACTTGACTACTTCAACTACTCACTCCTTAGTGTTCTGCTTAGCTGTTATTAGCATCAAAGTAAGATTAAAAATAAAAATAAAAGGAGAAGTTTAGTGTTCTTTACATTGGTCCCTTTAACAACTCATAATTGAAATGACAGACATCCAGATTTAATCTACATGATGCGAGAACTGTGGTCTTTGACTGATTTTATATATATATATA